AGGTGTTCTTATAATGTCTACTCCCATAGATAATTGAAACTTTTCTATACAGTTAGCCGAATTTTTGTTCTCTCTTCTGGAACCGCTCGTCTTGCTCCTTTGCATTAAATTTAATTCCATCAATGGCTTTTCCATAAAGGCATTTATGGCGAACAATTCGGGCTTGCTGCTTGCCGAAGAAGGGATACACGAAGACTTCCGGAGAGGAAACTTCATCTTTCTGCATCTAAGTGCTGCCGATCAACTCGGACACACTGCTAAGCCAAATTCACCCGAGTACGTAAAAATGATTCGAAACCTTGATTCGAACATCGGTCGCATCCTGAAACTGTTTTCAAGTCTTCCTTTTGGAGAGGAAATTCTACTTGAAACCGCCTTTATTCTGACTGCGGATCATGGAATGACTGACTGGGGTAAGATATGATCCCCAAAATGCCTTCTGGCTCCTCGTGGTAACTTTCCTGTCGCGAAGTTCCGCACTTTAGGTCGACAAAACTTGTAAGCCTTTAGGTTAATTAACGGCTTTTCTTTTGTCTGTGTTATAACCGTTCTCTTAATCCGGCCTTCGAAGTACAATGCCTTTTTCCAAAAATACCCTTCCTTTAGGCAGCCATGGAGCCGGATCTCCGCAAGAAACCGTCACACCGCTTATTTTGTGGGGTAGCGCGATAACTCCACCAGAGATTTCTGTAAACCAGTCACTTGGAGTCGACAAAACAGAGCTGCCAAAATATAATTATAACCGCAAGTTCCACATCGTTCGTCAAGCGGACATCTGTCCACTCATCGCCTCTTTGTTGGGTGTTCCCATTCCGGCTAACTCGGTGGTGAGTCTCTTACCGCTCTTATTTGTTCAATGTGTTCGTGCGGTATACCCTTTCCCCTCACAGAAGAAACTTCAATGAAACTGCACACTTTTTAGAACTACTTGTGTATTTAATTGCAGGTTATCTTTAATATAGGTCTTGTCTCGGACATATCATCCTGTGTCCATATCCTCCTTTATGTACTTTCCCACCACACTCCGACGCCAAAGCTGGCAGTCAGCAGACATGCATGGACATTAGGTACAAGAGACGGGCAACACATTAGCAAGTTTAAAACGCAATAAGTAACACACCCTTTCCCAGTTTTAATGGGAGTGTCGCAGGGCCCATGTGGTTTCCCTAAATGGGTGACACCAGGGAGCTCAAATCCTTTATTCCATGCTTTGGATCTATGAACTCCCTCTGAACTATGGCTCAATACCACCTTTCATATGGACCTTAGGGTGATAGGGGCCGTTTAGGAGAGCAAACGTGGTTTTCTCAAACGTTTAAAAAAGGAAAAATTCTTGTTTGCGCTGGATGCATGTTTACTTAGTTGAAAGGGCACCCTGTAGAATAATAGTTCGGGAGGGGGGAGGGGGTACGCGTGTCTTTACCCAACCATTCCATAACGACTTGCCCGAATGAAACCAGGTCTGCTTAGGATGTTCTCTCAAGCAACTGCACTCGATCTCACTTTAATTCGTCATGACCTGGACTTTGTACGAGTCCCCTAACTAGAACCTGGCCGATGTAATTCATTCTTGATGTGCCTTCTTTAACAATTATCACTAATTTTCCCAGCGGCAAGGATGCTGAGTCTCTCTGAGCTGAGGTTGAGAAAATATGTGAGGAACTAACTATAGGTTGATGGGGCTGCAAAGAAGGATGGTACAGAGCAACTGATGGACCCAGCTGGGTGCTCTGCTTGACAGGATTTATAATTGAGAAGCTTCACTTTTCCAACTGGTCGTGTGAAATTGCCTGTGTGTTGAGTATATACTTAAAGTCAAGGTTGAATCTGACTTCAGTATGACGCTAAGAATCACCCGGAAGCTTACCGGTATTATGATGCTGGCCAATTCCTGGATGCTACTTGCCCACCTGTTGTTCAGAATGATAATTATATGGCAGTCTTAAGCTGGCGGTGACCAATTTTGTACGCAAATAACGCTGTTGATTTTTGGATTTGATCCCCCAACAAGACGGTGTCTTTGTCCGACCAAAGTGCTTCATGTGCCTTCAAAATGGGGATGGCCCGTCTACACGTCCTATAACTTGTCCGTTGTGGTCGTTGAGGTAAGGAGACTTGACTGACGCTTGAATTGGCTAGTGGCGAGGGCAGCTTTCGCAGAATTTACCTCCTTCTTTGCTCACCCAACTTGTTCCAGTTGCAAGACAGAATAAAGACTGTTTTAATCCATCTCGTCAGTTTCTGTAGTAAGAGATGACGTGGCTACTGGAAAACGATAACCGGATTGGCGTACTTCAAGTGTCTTTGCGTCGTCAGCCTCACCCGAAGTGAAGTCACGTACTCACCATTTAGGTAGGTCGCATTCGAGGCGTTAAAGGTTTCAGCTACTCAGAATTAACTGCTCCTGTTTGACGACAAAGCGCAGGGCTGCGTCAGATTCAGCCACAATTTGACATTTACTCAGCTCTAGTTCGCTAATTTACCACAGGATTGCATTAGTTTAGAGCGATGGGGTATCATTATTGACTTATCACATATGACGCGGGTGGTGCAAACCTATAGTCTTCTTTTTCTTTCCTCTAACGTATCTCGCCGTAACTTTAAACCTCGGAACTTATGCGATCTTCTCTTCTTAGGGTGAAGTTCCTCTAGATGTCCTAGACGTTGGACTACAATTAAAAACGGAACTTATTCGTTCAAATGCCTTGCAGATAATCGCCCAGTTCCAGGTGATTGTCCTCTTTAACCCAGGTCTCATCTCTGACCGTAGAAAAAGTACACCGAACAGAAGGCCTCGCATTACAGAGCGTTTTTTCAAGAATTCAGGTGGGTGATAAGGTCACTGATAATCTTTTGAATTCAGCTCTCTCACACAGGCAGAGCTGTCAAAATTAATGAGCGCTGCAGCCCAGCAGACGGCCGATGGCGACTATGCTTCTGCGGTAAGATTTTACTTATCTAATGATATCTTGTGTTCTGGTTCCAGATTTCAACTTACCGCCAGATCATTCGCCAAGGACTCGAGGGCCTCACGTACTATCATAAATACGACCGATTTTTTATGGGGTAACTTATTGACATTTAAATTTTGACTAGAACTGTTTGAGTAGTCTTCACGCATGCCGTTGGTCATGGATTTCCTGATCGACAGCGACCGTTTTTGTCAGTTTGTTGAGGGATCGTGGTTTGGTGTTGGAGGCGGACGCAAGTGCTTGATTAGTACAACTTACCGCAAACTAATTTATAGTCAGAAGGGCTTATGTAGAGCCAACCTTGCCACCCATTTTCTAACCGTCATGTTTCAGTGGCAGGACAAAGTCAAAGCGATTGAATGTGAGTTTGGGCACACCTTATGACCAGTCAGTAAGCTACTTCACAACACCCCAACACAATTGCTCAACTCACAGAACGAAACCGGACTATGCACACAACTTGACCGGGTGGACAAACTGCCTAACCATCTTTTGAGTGTGTCGCCATTGTGCTTGGCCTTGACTCCCAACACAGCTTTCTAGAGCCACTGATGAGAATTGAGTAGCAGGCGGGACTCAGAGTGTAACGACCGCCTAACGTGAATAGGCAATGTGATCAGCATTTATGTGCCCACACATAAAACACTCAAAATTGGAGGTCATTGCTAGTCAGACCAGTTAGGCCAAAAGTGAAGATGCGTTTGCTGGTTGTGTCATCTTGCAAAAGCATCCACCGGTTGACGTGAACTGTCAAGTCTAACTGGTTATAATTCCCTTGCGGACACCTACGGCCGGACGTGTCTCTTCAGCTCATTATATCAGCTGAAAGCGACCCTTGAACCGTTGAGCAGGCAGTGAATGCCATTCTTATGTATGGTGGAAACAAAGAGAACAAACATCTGATTTCCACACTAAACAGCAGTCAGTTCCTTGGTGGTAAGGGAGAGAAGTGAGAAATCACTGAATCATTCGCCTGCAATATTGTCAAGTTCGGACACAAGTCACAACCTCCCAGTTCTTGGGGATCCCTCTGGCACATCTTCCGTAACCAGCCTCGGACACTTCAACAGGGCCCTACTACTCTTATTAGGGCTGGCCGATACATTTATTTATACTCGAATTCATGTTAATTTCAACGGAAAATTGTCGACACTTTATTTGACCGAAGCAGTATGTCTGGTTTATTTAAAACTGAAAAGGTTTGCACGTCGCCAATGAAGAAGCAGTTAAGCCGTGTTTCGTCCGACGTTCCAATTATTGTCACCCCTCCCCGTCCGTGTTCTGGCTCTCTTCGGAGCAAGCTGCCGGATTGAATTTTTCAGGCTCCGTTCGCGCCTTATCAATAGTCGGACTATTCGCTTTTACTGACATTTTTTGCCGCCTCTGTGTCCTCTTCGTATCCAGCAACCTGCTCTATTTGTGGACCCGGCTTTCATTTTTCTGTGGGCTGTGGCGAACACTTCTTTTATGATTTCAAAGAAGCCTACTCATAAAATGTCAACAGGCACTAGTGGTAGTGAGAATTGGAACACCACAAGCATGCTGTAACCTGGAAGAAATGCTTACCGAGAGGTTGTAGGACCGCCTGAGTAATAAGTCCGAAATTTTCAGAGTCGTTGGTGAACGCTTCGCCTTCTTCCGTTATTGGTCCGTCTTTTGACACAGTTTGCGCAAGCAACAAGTCTTGCCACTACGGTCTTGATCGTCGAAGTAATTCTTTCACACGCCGGATTTGCATTTCTACCTCAGCCCATGACTGCCTCACCGCCGTACGATTACGCCACACAGGCACTCACAGTTACGTACGGACGCGCATTTGCATAGCGTAGGGTTCTCACCGTCTTGTCTTGCTTTGGGCAAGCTGTCGTGTGCTCCGGTTTCTCTTGTGCGTAGCCTTTCTCAAAATCGCGCCAGGATTAAGGGTAGTATTTTTTCGCAGTTTTCATATTTTCCTCCTACAGGAACTTAGGAGAGCTTTAGCCTATAGCGCAAATTGCAAACAATGCACGACTATCAGTGTCTGAGAGATTGCCGACTTTCTCTGAATAAGATGATAGTAAATCTAAAGTGTTACCACTACCTCATGTCGGTTCACATCTTAATATACTGTCATGGTTGCTTTGTTGTATCGCTTTTTTCCCACTTATCCACCGGTAAAACGAACTCATGTTGCCTCAGGTAGAGGCAGAAGTGTTCGCGGGTATTCCTTTCTAACAAGACACCGTTTAACGCCTTTGGTAAAGTGAGAAAGACTTCCAATTTAATGGTAAAATCTAGCCACACAGCTTTCATCCCATGCTGACTCACGTTTCTCTACAAGAAAGGGTTTTCAGTGGGACTTTTATTTAAAAGGAACTGTTCGAAGTGGATAATTCGAACAATCAGAAAATATCTAGGAAGTCAAGTCCGGCAAACGCACTCTTCCGATTATTCATCATATAAGGGAGAGCAGAATAGCAAAAGTTAGACATGCAATAAAAGTCAACATGGAGGAGAGGGTTGAGGGACGTTCAGAAGTCAGTGGTCAGCTTCTAGTTCTGTCTCGGGCTTAGGGAGGGGGAGGGGGAAGGTGTCTGGTGATTAGCTGTCCCTGTTCCATCGCTGTAACGCGACGTGACGGGTGTGAACACATATGTTGGGTCTGTTTTTGCCCTGGGCATCCTTTGCCCTTGCACAAACGCTTTATGCGAGCACAAGGCTGGATTGGCTAGCCGTATGGCCACTGCCTTTTCCGTAGCAAGTATTCGTTGACACAGGAACTTGGAATGTCTCGCCGGCACTTTATAGATGACTCGGAATGCTTGGTTGGCAAGTTCATTCTCAAGCCTATCTGAAGTGCATATTCTCCTAGCTCGGTTGGTGAGGCAGCCTTGTTTGATTTCCGAGGAAATTAATGCGCGGACTTTGAACAATTCCTTCGGAACGGACCTTTCAGGCACGGTCTGAAATTTGGTATGCTATTGGTAGGTGTGGTCAATAATACTCTGGGCGCGAAATAATCGAGTACTTATAGTAAGTCGAGTTTTTTAGAACAGACTGGGAAGTAGGAAGCGTACACAGCGAGAAAACTCTTGCTGTGAAGTTTTGCAGCATTAATGTTTTCAATAAATCCAGTATTTCATGCTTTCGCAGACTGCGGGAGATGAGGAAAGGGGAAATTTTCGCGTTCGATTCCGTGCCGGATGCCTTGACTGTGAGCCGTGGGGGACGAGTATGTCAGCCATGCGTGTAGCCGAGATTCACCGGTCCTCTGAAATGCAAAGCGAACCCATCATTCAGTTAGGCCAACTTTTTCTACTGGGTTTCTAGACACACTTCACGTGTGCGGGAGTAATGCAATTGGGTTCATCACCGTATCCGAACTTAATATTAGTCTTTGTTCCGCCTTTTTACAATCTTGATTAGCTCTGGGCGACTGCGGTGTGGACAAGCTTACACACTCGAATTGCGGCACCGTGACGACAACGGCGGTCTTTTATTTGAGACTCGCCTTACTACCCAGTAAAATAGTTGACCCAGTCTTTCCATGCAAGTCAGAGGTAAAAGGATTTGATTTACTTACGTAGATGACAGGCCGGGCGCTGCAGCTTAGAGGTAATGTATTCTGGCGTGAAATCAGGTCGGATGTTCCAGTCTGTCTGCGGAAACGAGTTCTCTAACTTTATCACTCTTCGTGTTTCTCACTGTCTGCTAGGACTGAGAAGGCATCTAATTATTTAAAATATTACGGACAAAACGGAAAAGCCCATTGTCGTAGTCAATCGGTCTTGGCATGCACGAAGACGCTAAACTACTTCTCAGAAGTTACTGGCATAGCTTTTTCTCCGTGGTGCCTTTTTGCGGGTGATTAATGTATCGGCTTGCTGTTTCCTGCTTTCATCCACAACATTTGGTTTTGCCGTGTTTAATCCTGACAGGTTTTCATATTGACTTGCTGTCTTTGTTTACTGCAGGTTGTGCATCATGCTCTCGTACTTTCTGTGGTCGGTTATCCTGTGCTCAGAAATAGTTGACCACCCCAGCTATCGACGCGATAGTTTTGCACCAGGCTCTTTGTCCTGGAACATATGTGCAAGTTGCATCGCCTTTGGCATCCTTTTGACCTTAACAAGTGGTACGTTTATCTTTCAACGCTTGTTTTGCTGCACTTCGATTTTTATTTTTATAATCTCATCTATAACTCTTTTAACTAGCTTTCGACCAGTCCTGGCTTCGGACACTATATCAGCTACTTCCTCTGGCGCTTTCCGTGTTGCTGCTCGCCGTACCTGCTTTCCGTGATGTCGTTTACTACATTGCTTCCCTCATCACAGGAAGTCAATCGAATGCAAAAGAGGAGTCATTTTCTGGACCTCAGACCGTTTTGCTACTTGTTACTCTTATGGAATTGGCTGTAAGTAACGGTGAATGTTTTGTATGTTTTCTAAGGCGTTCCTGTACCACCTGCTGCAGGCCAGTTTGATAGTTCTTAAATTGTTTAACACCGGCGATTTTTAACTACAGATTTCGTTATCATAATTCACAGCCGACATGGCGACCTTATCCTCCTTGCCCCTGATAATGTGCTTATTTATACCTCACTTCTGGTTTCCACCCCAGGTCTCTTAAGGCTCCCTGAATAATTTTGACTGGCCTCAAAACTCCTCCGCTTATTAGATTTGAGGTTTCTGCCATACGTTCTAATGTCAATTTCTGTGTACTTTTCAGCTCTGGGGTTTCATATATCGTTTTCTCCTCTCATTTGGCGCAATTTTGATCGGACTGTGGCCGTTTGTGGACTCCTCCTTCATCCGGCAGCGAGACGTAAGTGCTTGTTGCCTGGCTATCTAGTTCTAACTAGCTCTATTCCAACCACGTATTCTGATGCTATGGAATATTGCGTCATATTTCCACGCCTTGATATCCTAGGAAACGGACAGCTCCTGTTTTCTCTGTTGTGATCAAGAAGTTAGAACCTGGTGCCCCTGTACGGTCCATGGAAATCAATGTTGATGTATTCGAAATTTTTTTAAAATCTCCACCCATTGTGATTATAGTGGATTTAGAGAACAGGATTCACTTTTATGTGCAATATCCCTTGTTTGCACAAATCCAACTAAAAGAAACCTACACCATAACCGGACTATGCATTTTTATACTGTTTCCACCCACACTTCCCCATAAGGGTTTACCACCACCCTTTTATCTTCTGGCAATTGCCTGCTTATGCAGTCCGGAACTTCTCAGAACGGGGGAAGATTTTCCCCCTATGAGGAATTTTGTCACAAAGCGGAGAGAATACTAAATATTGCCTAATACAGATATGAGTCCGTATGTCTGTAGTACACACCCTTCCTGGTCATCCATTGACATGCTGTAGCTCGGTACTGCGGCTCAGAAACTCGGCTTATTCAAATTTAACACCCACGGCTTTCTTTTCTTAAGATAGCCCTTATTTTACAAAACAGTGCACTTTTTATCTTCTTTTTATTAAAATATATGCGTTCTCCTGACGGATTCGCATATGAATGGTATCTATTTTTGCCCGGTCGGATTTCCAAATTTTTTAAAACAATACGCCTCATATAGTGCGAGCACCCTAGTTGCCGTTTTTCTCGTCACCACACGCCGACTGGAGCCAGTCACTCTTCTTATGATGTATTTGAACATGTAGATGGACGCCCCTTTTATTTGTGGCTACATTTTTCTTGGTCTCCCATTTGCTGCTGTTTTAGCGTTTATTTAGGCATCGGGACGCTGAAAGTCGTCTGCTTCATCCTTTTTGAATCTCATGGATTAAACTTTCTGTTAGCCTGAAGAAGATGCCATCGCATTTTCTGAATTGCTGCCTGGAAATCGCCTATTCATTTCTGTCGGCATTCTATTCTTGTTGTCCCGGGCAAACTCTTGTTTCTTTCATTTATTTTGATTTACTGACGAGTGTTAAGAGTCACACAGTGTGCGAGGCCTTACATTTCCTTCACTGTGGTCAAAGTGAAGTGAAAAAACAACTCCGGTCGATTTTTTCTTAAGTTGCGATTACTTGACTGAATTTTGGAAGTGCCTTTCACGTTACCACAGTTTCATAGGGCTTATTAAAACCACAAAAGTGTCAGACAAGCTTTTTGTTCACCGCCTTCTTACACGGGCCGAAAGTCCTGCAGTCAGCTGTATTTGCTTAATTCTTTTACTCTAAATTTCCATGCTTCTCAAACGCCACGTTTGGCAGACCTTCCGTTGCAGGGGACACGTGGAGTTCGGTGGGCAAGAGTTGGTTGAAAGGCAAGCGGCGAGGGTGCTGTTGCTTTGAGACATATTGCTGCTCTCGACAAGTGTTGCCAAATGGATTCTTTCACCGTTAACACTACCTCGCGACCTGCTTTTCTTTTTTAGAAAAGACT